GAAATGGAGATCTTTTTTAAAGGTTAAAAACTCATTCAATTTTATGTCTTACAGGGCTTATACTGAGTTGAATATTGTATAACTGTATTAATTCAACTGTGAACCTAATAATTTACAGCCACTTTTGAAAGAGATGTTTCTTTGCTCTGGAAATTGTTATTGAATATGTTAAAGCTGTAAGGGAATGCTTCTTCTAATCATGTGGTTATTAAATAAATTTTTTAAAATGTTAAATCAGATGTTAAGGTGTATACCTCCTCACCAAATAGCAGTAATTTTGCCCAGTTTTTCCCCTGTGCTCTTTTCCAGACAGGCTAATTGATAAGCGCCAATTAGCCAGTAACCTGAATGAAAATACCATGTCCCTTCCCCATCTAGCCAATCTAGATGTACAAATACGAATTCAGAAATGATGGTAAAAGTCTCCCAGGTCATCTTGCCCAGGTCAAAGACCAGGAATTCTCAATACAGGTGTATGTTTGTCATGTCCTAACTGAAAGAACACAGAAAATTTAAGACCAAACATATCTGAGTTTACAGAATTCCATTTAGTTTTATTCAAACATCATTTTTAAAGTATCTTACCATCTTGAATTATTACAGTTAAGAACACATCAAAAGAGCAGAGAACATCCAGCTCACAGAGAGTTTGCATCTAACCAACAAATAAATACCCAGGTGCTTTTTGACATAGTGTGAATTTCTACAAGATACAATGAGAAAATTGAAAAACAAGTGATTGTTCTGTGGCTGGTCAATTCTGCCAGTGTGGTGGGCATACAGGGTAGGAGACATGGCAACATGTTTTCTGAGCAGTTGACTCTGCTCTTACCCCATCTGAAATAATTCTAACACTTCAGGATTGTTCTATTGTCTTAGGTTGGTCTGTGGTAAAAAATACTATAGACTAAGTATATTAAATAGCAGACATTAATTTTTTTACAGGTCTAGAAGTTGGAAATCTGAGATCATGGTGCCCTTGGGAGTTATTCCTTACCTCCTGTGCTGGACAGCTTTAGTGTCAACTTGACTCACCTGGGTTGAGGGAGCCTTAGTTGGGGAATTACCTCCATAGGACCGGCCTGTGGCCATGTCTGTGGGGCATCTCCTTGATTGTTGGGTGATATGAGAGGGCCCAGCCCACTTGGGTAGTGCCACCCCTGGGCAGGTGGGCCTGTGTTGCATGAGAAAGCAGGCTGAGCAGGGGCCAGGAAGCAAGTCAGTAAGCAGCATTCCTTCATGGCCTGTGCTCTAGCTCCTGCCTCCAGGTTCCTGCCCTGAGTTCCTACCTTGGGTTCCCTGATGAACTGTGACCTGGGAGATGTAAGACAAATGAACCCCTTCTTCCTCAAGTTGGTATTGGTCAGAGTGTTTTGTCACAGCAATGGAGAAACAAGCTAGAACACCTCCTTCAAAGCTTTGTTCAAATGTCACCTCCCTCATAAAGCTTGTCTGGTGTACGACAAAGAGACCTCATAGCTTTCCAGGAACATCAGAGATCACTGCAGTACTTCACTAGGGGTCCTTTTGTGACAATGAAACCATTTAAGAAGACATAAAAATGCTGGGGTTGAAGAGATGGTTCAGCAGTTATGAACATTTGCTGCTCTTGCAGAGGACCCGGCTTCTTTACCCAGCACTCACATGGCCCCTTACAACCATCTATAACTCCAGTTCCAGGGGACTCAATGCCCTCTTCTGGTCTATGTGGACACTAGGCATGCACGTGGTGCACATGCATGCAGAAAAACACTCACACACCTAAATAAAAATTGTTTAAAAGCACAAAAGTGTGAAAACCTGGCCCATACAGTATAAGAGCGGAAACAAGAAGGCAGAAGAAAACCTCCAATTTAACCTCAGCTTGGAAATGTGTGTGGGCACCTAAATGGTTTGCCTTTCTAAGCACGTATCTGTAAGTACTGCAGGGCACCTTGAATATTGGTTTGGGGTTTTAAAGAAAAGTTTTCAAATAGATGAATTTGTAAGTACTGTGAATAGTGAGGATCGACTGTTCTAGATTTTGCAGTGAACATCCTGACAGTAGTGTGCTCCTGTTTAGGTATTCAGCTTGCTTTTCTTCTTGTTTAGATCTTCTTTTCTGTACTGAATGAAATAGCATAATTTTATTTATATGTCTCATTTTTTGTCAAAATTTCCTGTAACTTCTTTGTAGAATAAAATTTACGTTATAAATGAGATTTAAAAAATCAAATTTCTAGTTGGTTATTGCTAGCAGAGTGAAGAGCTATCAATTTTGTGCAAATTTACTTTATATTCTACCATCACTCAAAGCTTATTAATTCTAGTGGATTTTGCTAGAGTTACTTGGAATTTCTTGAGGGATTCAAAATTTTATCAGCTGCAGATAGAAGTCATTTTGTCTGTTCTTTTTCAGTATTTTAAATTTCTTTTTTATTATATTTGCAATAACATCCCCCAAATATTTAATAATGGTGGTGATGTTTGGCACCTAGCTTTCAATTATGTTTTTGTAAATAAAAGAATTATTCTTGTCAGTGTACATAATTATATGTAAAGTGAATCCACATCAAAAGAGAGGAAGTTTTTTTTTTTTTTTTTTTTACCATGTAGACTTTTGTTTGCTGAATCATTAAACAGATTCACTATTATTACTTGGCTGTCACCATTATCTTAGAGGATGGCCCTTGCTAATGTGTCAATTGAATAGATAGCAAGGATGACTCTTACTTGTTATCACATTGTGAAATGATAACATTTTATGTTCATTTCCCCTAAATTGGTCACCAATCAGAATTTTTGAACTCATCAGTATTTAGGTTGATGAGTTAACACGTTGAAAAGTGTTATATAATGCTGTCTTGGGGGAAATAACTGTATTCATTACACCTAGGGTAGATACACTAAAATATGTTGAGATCTAAATAAACTTCAGGGTTGTGTAGTTCTTGCAATTCCCTGTATTTATCTTATCTCCACATTACACTGACAGGTTATCCCTGAGGTTAGGTGATGAAAGCAAGTCACAGAAACATTAAGGCCACACATATTATCGGCTGAGGACAAGGCTTCTGGGTCTCTGTTTCAGTTTCCATCAAACTTTACAACTCTGTCCCATCACTCATGACTTTCATTCTCCATTCTAAAAGAGCCCATGATTGCCAATTATAATGTTCTTTATAAGGATGAGAGTAGGCTGTTAAAAATGATGATTTGTGTGGTTGGGGAGATGGCTCAGTCTGTAAAGTGCTTGCCTTGCAGGCATGAGGATCTGAGTTTAAACTCCAGAATCCACATTTTAAAAAGTCAGCTGTAGGGGTTAGAGAGATGGCTCAGTGGTTAAGAGCACTTGCTGTTCTTCTAGAAGACCTGGGTTCAGCTCCCATCACCCATGTCAGGTATCTTACAATCATTTGTAACTCCAGTTCCAAGGGATCTGATGCCCTCTTCTGGCTTCCATGGATACCAGTCTTCCATTGACACCAGGCAGGCACTTGGTGCACATACATACATAAGACACTCTCATATACACATAATACATCTCTTTTTTAAAAAAAAGCCAGGTATAGTGGCATGTCCTTGTAATTCCAGCACTGAAGAGGAAGAGACAGACCATGGGGTGTCAATAGTCAGACAGCCTAGCATACTTGGCATGTTCCAGGCCATTGAGAGACACTTTAAAAAAATGTAGACTAGGGGCTGGAGAGATGGCTCAGCAGTTAAAATCACTGGCTGCTCTTGCAAGGACCAGGGTATACACTCATATATGTAAAATAAAATATTTAAAAATAAAATAAAAATAAAAAGTGGACAGTGTATGAGGAATAATACCTGAGGTTGTTCTCTGACCTTCACATGCATATATGTACACAATCATCAGAAAACACTTGAACATCTGCACATATGTGAACATGTACATGCATACATGTGTATGTACATGCACACACAAAATGGTGACTTACACCAGGAAGGATGGTAGACACCTATAATCCCAGTACTTGGGAGTTGAAAGAAAGTGGATTGTAAGGTAAGAAGCCAGCCTGGGCTACACAATGAGTTCAAGATCAGCTTGGCATACATATGGAGATCTTGTCTCAAAAAACAAAACAAGTCAACAAAACAAAACAAAATGATTATTTGGAAGCTAATGACATGGGGCATGTTCTCCATTTAATGCAGGAGAACAGAAGAATGAGAAATTTCTTCTACAGCATAATCCCTATTTCACTAAGTATGTGGATGGCACACACAGGACAAAGTTATTTGAATAACTTTGAATGATCTCCTAAGCTTCCAGTTGCGTTAGTTGCAAGCACTGCTTGACTGAATGGCCACTAAATGGCACTGTTGCCTCTTAGTTCTACATCAAAACTCAAGGCTGTTTCCAGAGCTGAAGTAACTTAATCTCTACCTCCTACCCGTCTCCTGCCTTCTTTAGGATCTTCAGTGTTAAATCTGATGCCAGCCCTCGTAACTGGTCAAAGTGCTGAAAATAAATGGATGTTGAATGCTCAGCCATAATGGGATATTTTATCACCTCCTTGGAGGGTCAGGAAATATCAGGGAAGAGAAGGCAGAAAGAATGCAAACGCTGGAGAAAGGGCTGGAGATAGAACACTGTTTTTCAGGCATGAAAAAACCATTGCAGCTGTAATGACCTGCTCAAGGTTGGACCCATCAACATTTCATCTCAGAGGCAGGCAAGGAGTGGCTCATGGGGGCCCCAATCCTCCCAGAAGATTTGTAGGTAGTTAAAGGTTGCTAGGGAGGGAGAGGCTTATAAGGCTCTGAGTATTTAAGGGCAGTTAATAGTTCCTGGGGTGTGTAGTAACATTTCTTCAGTGTGGTAGCCACTGGTAAGTTGTCCATGCTCCTGTAAAATAACCCCTCACTGGTACTCACTGGACGCTCTTCCAGAGGACCCAGGTTCGATTCCCAGCACCCACATGGCAACTAACAACTGTCTGTAACTCCAGTTCCAGGGGAACTGACATCCGTTTTTGGCCTCTGTGGGCATTGCATTACATGGGTGAACTTACATACAGGCAAGCAAAACACTCATACACATAAAATAAAAATTTTAAAAATTAAAAAATATACATGAATGAAAATACCATAATGAAACCATTATGTATAATTAATAAATGCTAATGAAAATAAGCCTAAAGAAAAAAAGAAAAGCTGTGGCTATCTTCTGTGCTGATTGTGGAACCAACATGCAGGCCACTCACCTGGCCTGTGCATAGTTAACAGCATCCTGTGGAGCCAGCTGGTCCAGCAGCCACTGCCTTCGCATATCTTCTGTCCTGCAGCGCTTTTGGAGCAGGTTGTCTCTGAGGGTCCTGAGGAGGAGTTTTGTGTTCTCTCTTGCTGACATCTGTGGAAATGGAGAACATTTTTTAAAAAGCATCAAGAGATGGGCCAGATGGCTCAGTTGGTAAAAGCATTTATTGCCGTGACTGACCACCTAAGTTCAATGCCCAAAACCCATATGGTGGAAAGAGAGAACCAAATCCCACAAGTTGTTGTCTGATTTCCATATTTGGGCAGTAGCACACACGTTCTCTGTCTGTCTGTCTGTCTCTCTCTCTCTCTCTCTCTCATACACACAAATGGAATAAAATAAATGATAAAAATTTAAAAGGGGGTCAGATCAATCTAAGCATGCCTTTTTTCTCTTAGCTTTGGTGAAATGGCCCATGATGAAAATGTTGATAACTTCTGTTCTTGTATGTTTGAGAAAATGATCTTTCTTATTCCTGAAATTTCTTCATAGTCTCTATGAAGAACCCTGCACATAGCACAAATATCCAGGATGAATGTTCCTAACTACCTTAGCAGTTCCTCTTCCTTAAAGTGACTGGAAATTTTAAAGCTGGAAGAGGGAACCTCAGAGGAGTAAGTTTGTGGTTGTGAACTTTTGGGGGTGTGGATTCCTTTAAGAATTAGATGATGGCCGGACGTGGTGGCTCATGCCTTTAATCCCAGTACTCAGGAGGCAGAGGCAGGTGGATCTCTGTGAGTTCAAGGCCAGCCTGGTCTACATAGTGAGTTCCAAGACAGCTGGAGCTACAGGGAGACCCTGTCTCAAAAAGACCAAAAAAATAAATAAATAAATAAATTAGATGATAACATGTGGATTTATCTCAAGGAGAACCCTCATAGGTTTACTGCTATATACAATATCAGTGGGTACCTGGACCACCTGAAATTCAGCCATCTGTCTAACCTAAACTACTTCCAGGGAAAAGCAACAAAGGAGCTGGATAAAGCTCTATAGCTCTTGAAATTTAAAGTGTAATGACAAAGTGCCCACATGATGTCACTGTAACACCACTAAGCCCAGGCTTTCAAGACCAGGAAGCTAGCAAGATCAGAGGCCAAGGAATCAGAACTAGGTTAGTACAGTAGAGCAAAGGAATGCTCACTGGAAATTGGTAAAATCCAGGTACTTGCTTCTGTGAACCATTCATGTTAAATGCAAAATAGGGAAAACTGTTCTTGGTGAAGGCAATCCACCAACAGCCTTTCTACTACGGTATTTGAGAAGAGTATCATCTACCCAGAGTCTCAGGAAATTAGTGGTGAAAAGACAATGTTATCCCCCTCGCTAGAAATAGCAGAATCCTTTTGCTATTTTTCATTCTTAGTACTAAATTGACTTGTTGGTTGCTAGTATTTTTCTTTGAAAAAATAGAAAGTTGGCCGGGCGTGGTGGCACACGCCTTTAATCCCAGCCCTTGGGAGGCAGAGGCAGGCGGATCTCTGTGAGTTCAAGGCCAGGCCTGGTCTACATAGTGAGTTCCAGGCCAGCTGGGGCTACTGGGAGACCCTGTCTCAAAAAAGACCAAGAAAAAAAAAAGTTATAAGGTCTTGCTTTTTTCAGTAAAAACCTAGATCTTTTTCTTTTTCTTTTTCTTTTTTTTTTCCTTAAGGAAAAATACTTGAAATTTAGGACTCAGGGAAAGACATATTTTAAAACCTCTCCAAAAATTTCAGCAATTACAAGTTTTGTTGTATTGTTTTCACCAAATCAAAGCCCATTTCTTTTCTATCTGTACCAATTTCTAACACCTCTTCCTTCTAACTTGGACAGATATTTTCTTTTTTCTTTCTTTTAAAAATAATTTATTGAGAGTTTCATACAGGCATATAAGCATATACGGTGTTTTGATCAAATCCATGCCATGCCCTCCCCTCCAACTCCTCCCATATCTCCCCATCACTTTTTTCTGATAACTTCATGTACTCTTTCTTCTTCTTTGATTTATTTATTCGCGGGGGTGAACTTTTTGCTATTCTAACATTTTCCCCTCTGAAGAGGTAACCCTAAAATCGTTTAAGGATTAGATAAGAACTCCCAAATACTTTTGACATTTTTGGCCGTTGGAACAGAATATGTCGCTAAGAGGCCCAAGGACATTTTGACTTTTAGCCAAGAAATTGGCTACTTTTCTTTGGGGCCTTTTTACACTAACTGCCTAGCCAATTCCTACCTCTTAATCTTATCACACCATTCTCTGAAGAGGTTACCCAATTGGGACACAGACTGCTCTGGCTTCTTCCTTGAAGAACAGGGACACAGGGTAAAGCAATTGGGGTACCCCTTCTGTGGGTCTATCTAAAAGACTTCCGAATTGCATACCTCTTATCTGTAGGAGGAAAAGAAAGTTCTTGACTGGTGAATAGGAGATGTGAAGGAGAAGTAAAGGCAAGAGTAATTAGCAGTACAAGTTTTAGACAGGGAACTAGAAAAAAGTCAGAATAGGGCAAATTTCAAATGTTCATATGAGAGTCCATTGGCATCTCTTGATGAGAGTTTCCAAAAGCATACCTCTATTGGGTTCCTCCTCATTTTTCTTTTCTCTTCCAAGGCTGGACTCTAGAGTGATGGATTCAGGGTTTGCTTTCAGGCATTTTGATAGCTGCTGGAGTGGTTAGAATCAGTGTCAGTTCCCTCTCAAAAGATTCTAGATAGGTGGAGAAAACAAATTTATCCATCATTTTAGAACAATAGCAGGTTGTCTCCCTTAGCTACAGGTGGGCACTACAGTATTAGAGACCAAGATTT